TCTGTTGAGGTCATATAGGAATGCCAGCATACCCTTACTTCTAAATTTTTGACAAAATTGAAATACCTGTGTTTAACGTTTGTATGATAAAAAACGTGTTGCAAATGTTAAACGTGTTAAGTTTATCCGAATTAATGTGTTCTAAAACCCGGAATGATCTCATATGATCAGGATGTGTGGTAATTTTTTCATTTTTTTTTTCTTAATTTGAAGTCATATTTTAACAAAACATTCACTAATACAGTTCTTACCATTATTACCTGCATTTATTTTTTTACAGCTTAAGGGGAAAATAAAATTCTTTGACATATTGACTTGGTAGTGTTCGTTTTTACATTTTGGTATATTATTTGTAGACTGCTATTTGTTCATTTGACCTTCCTGTTTTGTTCATGACGTTATCTTACTTTCTTCGATTCATGGTTTTCCACTTAATAAAAGTATTGCAGTAATTAGATAATAACAATTTCCCTCATCCTTTGGTTCAAGTTTCAGGGATTATTTTATAAACTGATATTTTGGTAAACATACAATACTTTCAACCTTAGGCGTTACTGTTTTTAGCGATCAGTCAGCAGTCATCGATCATTCACCGATTAGTCAAGTTCGCGTCAAACTCAGGTCACAAATCCGTCAGACTTATAATGAAAATATTTGACTGATCGGACGGATCGGACGGATTGACCTGTCTGAGGGATTGAATTCTGCTACGTCACATGTTGAACTCTTTGAAATTACGAGATTTTAGTCTCGTTTTATTTCATCATAATAGCGCCCCGGAAAATACGAATCGTTTATAATCAATCATTCAGCAAAGTTATCACAACTAAAATTTTACGTTTGTAGAAGAGAAGTGAAATATGCAGATAAAAAACTAAAATTAAAACTTTATTAAAGAATTGCAATTGTCGTTAATATATTTTTTATCAAACCCAATGTATGCTAACACGGTGTTTATCGCGATTGCAAAAATCTACTGAATTAGCCGAAAATGTTCTGAAAAATCAAACAATCAAATATTGCAAATATTTGTGAATAATTTTTAATGAAATAAACAAAGATTTAGGGGAACACTAAAAAAATGCAAACAAAATATAAAGTATGTTTTCTCTTAAATTCGTAAGGTTTTTGGGGAACAACCCATCCCGATGTTCAAAATAATTATATCGAAAGATGGAAAATGATGGATGGAAAATGATTTCCATTAAATTTTAATAAAGTGAAGTACTAAATGCACTCTTATTCAATACAAACACAAGTATAAGTATCGTTATCCTTATATTATTACAGTTTAACAAAATTAAAAAAAGTTTATCCAGAGGCATTTAAAATAACTGATTATAAAACAAGTTTATTAGTTTTGATCAATAGAAGAATTATTAGTATTTTTAAACAATGGAGACAACATTTTAGTATCTTTTTTCTGATATTGATTATATTTTATACAAAACAACCAATATCGATGTTCAAAATATACAACATTGCAATGGTGGTTAATGATTTTATTTAAAATAAAGAAATTATTGCATTCTTATTCAAAACAAACAAAAGTTTAAGAATTTTAAGTCTTATAATATTCACAATTTAGAAAAACAAAACTTATCCAGAGGCATTTAAAATGACTGATTCAAAAAAAAAAAAAAGAATATGGGCATTTTTAAACAATGCGAGATACATCTTTGTATCTTTTCTCTGATATTCATCATATTTTTAAACAAAAAAAAACAAAAAAATCTTTATGTACAAAATGTACAAAAACCCAAAGGCGGTTCATGATTTCCATTTAAATAAAGAAATAATTGCACTCTTATTCAACGCACACATGATTTTAGTCATTTTTATCCTTAGATTATTCACAGTTTATACAATAACTCATCCAGAGGCATTGGAAACAACTGATTGCAAAACAAAGTGCATTGATTTTCATAAAAAGATAAAATATGGGCATTTTAAAACAATGCGAACAACATTTTTCTCTGATATTCATCATATTTAAAAAAAAAGAAAAAAAAAAAAAAAAAAAAAAAAAAAAAACATCTTGATGTACAAAATGTACAAATTTACAATGGGGGTCTATGATTTCCATTAAAATAAAGAAAAAATGCACTCTTATTCAACATACACATAATTTTTTTTTATCCTTAGATTATTCACATTTTATAAAAGTAACTAATCCAGAGGCATTTGAAATGACTGATTGCAAAAAAAGTGCATTGATTTCCACAAAAAAAAAGAATACGGGCATTTTTGAACAATGCGAACAAAATTTAAGTATTTTGTCTCTGATATTCATCATATTTTATGCAAAAACAACCCATCCTGATGTACAAAAGTACTAAATAAAGGCAACAGTAGTATACCGCTGTTCGAAAACTCATAAATCGATAGAGATAAAAACAAGTCCGGGTTACAAACTAAAACTGAGGGAAACGCATCAAATATAAAAGGAGAACAAAAAAATCAATGACGGTTTATGATTACAGAATCCTTAGATTATTCAAATTTTATAAAAAAATAACTCATCAAAAGGCATTTGGAATGACTGATTTCAAATGAAAGTGCATTGATTTTTATGAAAAGAATAAAAATTGACCTTTTTAAACAATGTGAACAAAAGTTTAGTAACTTATCTCATATTCTATGAAAAACATCCCATCCTGATGTAAAGAAAAGTGGAAATAACAAAAGGCGGTTGATGATTTCCATTAAAATAAAGAATTAATTGCACTCTTAATCAACAAAAACATAACTATAAGTATCTTTACTGTTATACTATTTACATTTCATGAAAACTTACTCATCTGGTGGCATTGAAATGTATGCTTGCTGAATATGGTACTTACTTCAAATGATAACATTTTATTTCTTTTTAGAATTAATGATACAGAAACATTCTGAGCATTTCATTCTTCTGCAATTATGTAATTTTTTTAGCATAAAAATAAAAGAACCAATAATGAAAAAAATGCATATAAAGTCTTTAAAGTAATTATATATTTTTTAATATGTTATTCCGACCAAGTGGATTACAAATCAGCGGGTGAAGGTGTCTTCGGTAGAGGTCCGTGTTTATCGCATGCAAATACTTTTGAGTTCGTTTCACATAGCTTATTTTAGATATCTGACATATTCTATTGGTCATCGATCATCGATCATTCATCGATCAGTCAAACATTCGTCACCGATCATTCACTGATCAGTCAAGTCCATCCAAGCAGTAACGCCTAAGGTTGCAAGTACTGTAATGCTTCAAACCAGTTTGGCATGCAATTCAAACACGCGTCTTTTTTCGGTGGAAAAATAAAGCGACTTTAGTTAATTCTAATTTTCATTATTATGAACAGTAAGAAAATCCCCAAAACATCGATGCAAAGTCAGCTAAAGAGGACTGAATGCAACAAACAAAACATATCCTAGAAAATAAATGTTTAAGATAACTCAACAAAGATGTCAGGCTTATACATGTAATTGGGTACGGCAGACGCGCAAGTCCTATTAGTGATAATCGAAAGAAAAAAATTCAAAGGCCGAATGAAATACGAAATTGAAGAGCACCCTTTAGAATGCAAATTTGATGTCAATTAGGGGCCAGATGACATCATGTAAGTCACCTTATACTAAAACAACACTCCTGAATACCTTTGATGACAAAATCATGTATCACATTTACCGTACAAATCTAATGCAAAACCAAAGTCGCGTACATTTGTGCTCGTAGTTCTAAAGTTTTGGAATATTGCAGTTGTTATCAAATAGTCCGTTTCTATGTATGTTGGCGTTTGTTTTTGTTGCAGTTCAGTGTTTCTGTTGTTCCGTTGTCTTCCTCTTATAATTGATGTGTTTTCCTCGGTTTTAGTTGGTAACCCGGATTTGTTAATCGATTTATGACTATTGAACAGCGGTATACTACTGTTGCCTTTATTTGTTTATGCAAATTGAATTCTTACATGCAATGTAAACAGCAAAATCAAAAGTGCTGTTTTATCAGAGTAGGCTTTTCTTTACAAAATATTCTTGATGCTGATTAGTTGAATTGGTCATGTTGGTTGGTGTGACACTTACACAGTCATGTTTATTCGTATAATACCACTAAAATTTGGCAATAAATATGTGTGTTTTCAATATGTTGCATTCATAGCGTTAGAAGTACTTGAATACGTGAGGAATTTTATTACCAAAAGAATGATGAAATCCATCTGAGTTCAACTCTGTTCTCGGAAGTTGAGATAAATAATCAAAAACAATGTAACTGTAATATGTCGAAAATTACATCTTTCTACAAAAGAGGTGATAGACACCAAGGGTTCATTTGAACCTACAAGTCGAAAATAAACAGACAACGCCATGGCAGAAAAGGAAAAAGACCAACAGACAAAAAACATTACACAAAATACAACGTAGAACACTAAAGACTTAGCAAAACGAACACCACTAAAAACTTGGGGTGAAATCAGGAGCTCCAGAAAGGTAAGCAGATCATGCTCCACATGTGGCACCCGTCGTGGTTCTCATGTAAGTACAAACCTGATGATAAATATAATTCGGTAGGTCACATTCAGGGAAAAGGGGGATTGGATTGTAGTTACGACAATTGGAAGATATACGTCATCATCTGTGAAATAGATATATCATTACGGTCAACAAAGATGCCGTCCGTAAAATTTACAAAAGGACGATTTCAACTTTACCACTTTGAAATTTTGATTTAATAGCCTCCTTGTGAGCAGCAAACCTCTATCAAGGAAATCATGATAGGAAATATAAGCCCTGGAATATCGTATCAATTGAGAGATATAAAGTTTCCTAATTCTGACATAAAAATGACATGTAAATAATAGTTTCACCATTTTGTTTTTTGTCATCGATGACTTGATGCATTTAAAAGTAAAATAACAAAACTACCGAACTCCAAGGAAAATTCTAAACGGAAAGTCCCTTATCAAATGGCAAAATCAAAACATCAAATACTTCAAACGAATAAAAAACAACTGTCATATGCCTGACTTGGTACATGTACTTCTTTATGTAGAACATGGTGGATAACACATAGTTTGATAGCTAACTGAACATCTAACTTGTATGACAGTCGCATATAATTCCATTATATTGACAACAATGTGTGGGCAAAACAAACAGACATAATAGGTTAAAATGTCGAAGATTGGAATACAGCAGTCAATATTGTGTTATAATCTTAATCACTATAAAAACAAACAACTATTGCAACAATGAAAGACAAAATGGCATATAGACATCTTATCGACAAAGCACAGAAGAAAAAATGAAAGACATGAATACAAAAAATGACCATAGCAAAATAACACAAAACAATGAGCAGTTTTTGTTGAAGCAGCCATGAAGACCAGTTTTCTACTTTGTATATTAGAACTCTTTCTTCTTTAACTGATTTGTTATTAAATAAGCTTCGTCGAATAACAATTGACCTAATGCAAATAAATATCATTTAGTCTGAATAGACCTAAATATATCTTTTATTTAGTATATGATTGTTCCAAAATTAATAAAAGTCTTATACACGTACATGTATACGTGCACTTGCAAAAGGTCGATTTCTATCCGACGCAGCTCATTTGTGAGTGTATGTATTGTTTATTTCTTTTGTACCCATTATAGGATCTATTTGGTTTTAGGGTATAAACATTTGAATAACAAGGAAGTATTTTGGTTTTCACTCAATTTCATCATTTTCACTAGAGTTTTTGATAAAAAAAATTGCTGTTTATTGTAAGCAAGTTTTAAATACTTAAAACTGTGCTTGATAATTGACTATTTATCTGACTTCTAAAGGTTTTCCCGATTTGCATACATTATTAAATATAGAAAAAAAGAGTAATCTGTCATAATGCTGACATCTTAAATAACATGAAAGTATCCGTCCTTCACCTTTAATTTTGATGTCACAGAAATTGCACCGTATGATTTTTTTTTACGACCTGACAAAACAATAAGTATAGAGGATATGGAAAACGAAAATGACATCGCAGTTCTTACTTCATATAATTGGTCTGGTATTTTGCATCCAGGATAGAAAAGGACTTTCAAAAATAATGTTGATTAGTTGTAAATGTAGTTTCATTGCTGCACATTGGAATGATTACGGAGGAATTTGTGATACAAAATTTATAACAAAATTCAAAGTAATTTGTTTGCTATTAAGATTAGAAAACTCTTAAACTTGACGAAAACGAACTTTTATACGTTTTTCCTAAATATTATATCATTTGCTAGACCATTGTAATGGGACATTTTCATGAGTGATGAGTACCCATGTTTTTCTACAAATTTTTTTAATTGTGCTTCTCCTGCTGGGACGTGAATAAATTCCACCGTCATCATATCAATATCTAATTTACCAAATGGTATAGTTTGTAACACTTGTAATTCCGCTCCCTCTACGTCAAGACTGAAGAAATCAACATGCGTTACGTTTAAAGCCTTCATAATTGAATAGAAAGGGAAGCACTGGACATCCACAATGTCTTTGCCAGTCGAATTCTGGTTCTGTAATATCTTGCCAACACTGAAATTCTTTTTGAATTGCATCTGAAAACACATAAAATTACACCTGCAAACAAAAAAACTGTGAGATTCCGAAGAAATCACGATTTATAGTATAGATAACGTTGTAGTGACCAGTGCGTATTATCTGTACAATATGTGTTTAGTAAACTTTTTGTGTTTCATTTTAATCTGCAAACTATATTAAAGATTGTATTTTGATCTAAACCGTAACCATGGTTACAGAAATTTAAATTATCAAAAATCGTAAATATGGCAGATTTAAGATATTTCATGAGAGTAATCAATGCTCTCCCGCCCTTGCAGAAAATAAACAGACACATAAATAGTTAAGACAACGCTGTTGTAACGTGTGCAGATTATATAACTTGTTTAATATTGTTAATGTTTTTGAAAATCTCATCTTTTGTTTTTTTAATTTTCAAACTCTATTACATATTGTACTTTTTAGTGGACGGTAACAAGGGTGGTCACATGTACAAAGAGAGAGGTTGACACATTCTTTTTGTTAACCAGAATACATACATTATTGCCTGATACTTTACTTTCTAAAACTTAAAATGATGCAACACTGCCGATCCTGATCTCTGACAAACACAAGCACTGAAAGGAATCGTGATGTCGACCAAAGACAACATCTTACAAATATCGATAATTGGAACAATGACAACAACGGATTCTGAAATTGGACAACAATAACCACTGAAGAGGATCATGATCTTGGACAAAAACAACAACTAGTAAGAATACTGACCCGCGGCAAAGAAAATAACTCCCGAGGATTATAGAATTAGAGAAAGGCAACCAATGACGCTGATCCTATACTTGGACAAAGAAAACCGCTGACGAGGATCCTGGTTTTGGGCAAAGGCAGTCCTTGAAATGGATACTGAACGTTGACAATACAATACCAAATGAGGATTTGAGCCTTGGACAGACACCAACTAACTTATACTACAAATAACATTATAATTTAACAGCATACCAAGATATATAAGTCCATAACATAATTCAATATGTTGTCTATTACTGAACCATTTTTCTTTTGATTTGATACAGCAATATACTCAATTATATTCTCAAATATATTACCAAATTTGGAATACATTTCAATATAGACATAACTGATTGACAAGAATTCTGACTAAGGGAAAAGTCATCATCTGACTAAGGGATAAGTCATCATCTGACTGGTCTAGGACTGCGATAACCTCTGACGAGGATCCTGACATGAGACAAATACAATATTTGACGAAGATTCAGAGTTGGGACATAGACAAAAGCTGGAGATTTTATTATTCTTTGACAAAAATAATCACTCATTAAGATTTCGACTTAAGAAAAAGAGACCAACTGACGATGATCCTGACCCCGGGAAAAGAACCACTGACGATCATCCGTTTTTTGAAGAAGAAAAAAAACACAAACACTGATGATGATTCCGACCAGAGACAAAGGCAAGCACTAAAGTGGATCCTTAAGTTGGACAAATAAAAACAAACACTGACAATGATATTGAAAATGCGCAAATACAGCCATGGACGAGGATCTTGAGTAGAGACAAAGACATCCAATAATGAGGATTCAGAACTGGGACAAACACAACATATGACGAGAATACTACAGCGAAACAAAAACAACCCCGGACGAGCAAATGGCCGTTGGCAATGACAACCACTACCGTAACGGCACTGACGAAGATACTAAACTGGGATGAAAATAACCACAAACGATGATCATGACTTATAAAATTACATCTGACAAGGAATTGAACAAATAACGAATGACAAGGATTCTGACCTAGGCCACGAAATACTACTGACGATGATTCTGACCTCGGAAAGAGAAAACTACTGGCAATGCCCCGGCATTTTTATAAAGATAACAACACACAAGGATCCATAACTTGAACAATTACGATGATACTGGTGAGGATTCTAAATTGCGGCTGACACAACCACTGACGATCAGCCAGCAGTTAAAATAGACATTATTCAACGAGGATCCTGAAGATGGAAAAGACGCCAACAATCCTAGATTTGGACAAAAAAAAAAACAACTGCCGAGGATCTAAAAGTTGTTAATCATGACCTTGGGCAATAACAACCACTAACCTGGATACTTAGCTTGGATAATAGCAACCACTGATGATGATCCTGAACGCAGATAAAAGATAATCTACAGACGGGCATCCTGATTCCTAGCTGATACAAAGATCACCACTTATTATGTACTGTTAAAAGAAAACCACCGGCCAGGATTTTGAACTTAGAGTACGACAACCACTTAGGAGGATCTTGAGCTGCAACAAAGACAATAACTTACAAGGATCATGACCTAGGAGCGGGACAAACACTAGTAAGAATCCCGAAGTTGAACACGGACAACCTCTGAAGACGATTCTGAACACGGACATAGGAAACTATTGACGATGAACATAGACAACCACTTGCGATTATTCTGACCAGGATCTTAGAAACAATTGATGACAATCATAAACATAGAAACACACAACCACTGACGTAGATTCTGAACTGGGACAATCAGTTACGGTGATCATGGGTTGGAAAAGAGAGTACCACTAACAAGGATTGTGCCGTAGCCCAGGCCAAATACTTACGAGAATCATCAACTGGGATACAGACACCCGCTGACTAAGATCATAAACTGGGACAAAGGTAACAACTAAAGAGGATCATGACATTGGATAGAGGTAATCACTGTCGTTGTTCTGACCATAAACAGAAACAACCATTGACACAACAAGGTATCTTACTGACGAGAATCCTGATCTGAGACAAACACAACTACTGATGTGGATCCTGAACTAAAGCACAGACAAACATTGACAAGGATGTAATGGAAAAAAAACACCACTTACGACTAACGACTAACACAAAGACAACAACTTGCAAGGATCATAATTTTGGCTAAGTTAAATACTTACGATGATCTTTGGACAGGGAAAGCCACTGACGAACATTCTAACATTAGACAAAGACAACCACTAACTATAAGCCCATACATAGGAGAAAACAATACAGTAGTAAAATTTCTAAAATGGGACAAGGATAACCACTGACTATGATGTTGAACTTTGACAAAGAACACTGATGGAGTCCTTAACTAAAATAAAGACACCTGGTAAAAATCCTTAAATGGAACAACGACATCCACTAACTATGATCTTGAACCGTAAAAAAACACACTGGTGATATGGAGTCCTAACTAAATAAAAAATACTGACAAAGATCCTGACAAGGGACACAGACAGCCACTTACGACGATCATTTATCTGGAATAAAAAAAATAACCCTTCCTGAGGAAAAGACAGCCATTGGTAAGGATCCTGAACTGGGAAAACGACAACACTTACAAAGTGCATACCTCGGACAACCATTACAACTGGTAAAGATCATGAATTGGAACAAGGACAATCACTGACCATGATCTTGAACTATGACAAATAACACTTGTGATGTGGATCCCTTACTTAAACAAAGACAACTGCTAACAAGGTTCCCGACCTGGGATAAAAAAAAAACACTGACAAGGAGCATGATATAGGATAAAAAACACACTGGTTGGGATCCTGCAGTGGGAAAACGACAATCACTGACGAGTATCCTGATCTGTGACAAAAACAACATCTGACGAAATTCATGACTAGGTGCCAAAATAACCACTGACATGAATTCTGACCTGTGACAAAGACAACCACTGGGAGGATCCTTAACTAGGACAAACATAACCACTTACGCTGATCCTTACAGGGAACAAAGTAAATCACTAACAATGATCCTGAACAGGGACAAAGATCGAACTGAAGAGAATCGTGAACTTGGAAACAGACAACCACTCACGAGGATACTGAACTTGGACAAAGACATCAACTTACAATAATCTGACCTGGAAGGAACCAGCCTCCAATGCAGATCCAGGGCAAGTACAGAGACATCCACTGACGATAATCTTTAACTGGAAAATATATACCTTTCAAGAGGATTTTTAACTGGGACAAAGACAACCCCTTACGATAAACATGAGCTTGAACAAGAACAACTAACAACTGACAAAGATCTTGACCTCGTACAAAGACAAACATGACGATAATCCGGAACTGGGACATAGACGACCTTTGACAAGGATCATGCTCTGGGATATTAAAAACACTGATGATGATCTTGATCAGGCACAACACAAACCATTGACATGGATCTTAAACTGAGATAAAGACAACCACTCAATAAATCTTGGCCTTGGACAAAGAGAACGACTGACAAGGATCCTGACATTTAAAGAAGACTACCACTGACGAAGTTCAGTAGAAAACTACAATTGAAACGGACCTTAACTGAAACAAGGACGACTTCTGATGAGGATCCTAAATAGGAAGCAAGACAATCACTGACTGTAACTTTGAACTTGGAAAAAAAACAACTGACGAGGATTCTCGTATTGGATAATTACAACAATTGACGAGGACCATAACCAGTGACAAATATAGGCAAAGTCATAATGCGAATATATATGTTTAAATTCTTTTAGGTCATTTTTTTGGAACAACAAACAAAAGAACTATGTAAATTGGACCTGCTTTGATACGACAACTGCACTTGAATTGTTACTAGATAACATTTTGGTTCGCTATGGAGATTCCGTATATCGTCCACTTATCGGAATCCCAATGGGGACAAAATGTGCACCACTTATTGCGGACCTGTTTCTGTATTGTTATGAGTTACAATGTATGACTAAAATCAACATAGACCCATCGAAACAACATCTGATACAAAAATTTTATAACACTTTTAGATATTTGGATGATACATTGGCTCTCAATAATGACGACTTCAGTATGTACATTAAAGAGATTTAACTGACTTAAAATAATGCTAATAGCAACAATGAACACTGCCCTTCCCTGGATCTTGTTATCTATACCTTAAACGGGAAACTTAATACCAAAATTAACGATAAAAGAGATGATTTTTCATTTCCTATTGTTAATTATCCATTTTTAA